TGAGGAGGAGGCCTGCACATGTTCGATCTTATTGTGAAAAGACTTTATGAACTATTTTTTTAATTTTTAATCACATTACAGCGCTGCACTATATATATTTAATGTTTCTGTTATGAGGTCCAGTGATTCCTTGGAGTGTTTCAGCAGCTGGTTTTCTGAGCGCTCGCTATATTCATAATTTATATAAAGCATATATGTCACGCTCCCAATCTAAGGCAAATGTTACATAAATCATGCAGTGATAAAAAAATTCCCACAATACAACTCTTAAGTATCCATAAAAAAACAAAAGTTAATAGGTGCCACCTAATAAATATTAATTAAGTTGTATACATATTATAAGTGAATAATGAAACTAATGATAATCCCAAAAATAAAAAAAATATATAAAAAAAAGTCTCTTTGATCAATGAATAAGTGATAGTCCCAAAAACATAGTGCTTGTGTGATCCAAGACGATAATTGTGACTTTTTGTGAATCCTTATAATGGTAAAGTTGTGCGCTCATCTCCTTGAAAGCCTAACAGGCTTATTACGCTTTTTGTTCACAAATGGAACCTGCTATAATTTGTTGCAGCATGAAATGGGTGGTGGGTGTCTCCTGAGTGCTCCACAGCACTCATCTCTTATTAGTGGCTCGCAAGTTACCAGCAAACATAATTTTAATGTGACGTTTGAATCGCCTCTGATCATTTTACTCTAAAAAAAAAAGTCCTTCCTGATCCCCCAGGAGGCAATTGGATATTCCCTGGATCAACAACCCCTGATGTTACTACCTATAAATATTAGTATCCAGCTATATATTGTGCATTTATGCATCCAGATCTTTGTTGAAGCCAACTACTGAGCTGACCAGAACTAGTTCTTGAGGGAGTCTATTCCACATTTTTACAGCTCTTACTGTGAAGAAGCCTTTCCAGAAATCTCTTTTCCTTCAGAAGAGTGACCCCTTGCCCTTTGTTATGACCTGAAAGTGAATAACTCTACATCAAGTTCACTATATGGACCATTTATGTATGTATACATGTTGATCATATCCCCCCTTAATCTACTGCAAGGACTTTATTCCACTGCATAGCTTGGAGTCATCTGAAAACACAGAAATGGTAATTTTATTCCCAAATTCAATATAATTAAAAAAAATTGGTTAAAAAGGGTTACCACCATGAGCATCACTAATAACCTTAGACCATTCAGGCCATTTTCACAAAAGACACTGCTATTGGGCACCAGCCTACCCGAGTCACTTTTGTTAATGATCTGGGTAACCCTGCTTTGGTAAGTGAAAACTATTCCTAAACACCCCCAGGTAAGACTTCTAGTTGTCTCTAACATTAAAAAAATGGTTTTAAAAAAATGTCAGCACTAAGAAATTTCTCAAAGCCACCAATCAGATTCAAACATGCATTTAGCCCCCGTTCACACCAGTGTGACTTGTCATGCGATTTAAAGTTATACATCACATGAGTCACACCCTTATATCGGTAATGGAACCGGTCAAATTAGTGCGACTCCAGCTTTGCGGTACTGTACTGATTTGAAAAAAGGCTCCTGCACTATTTTTTAGTCATTTCAGGTGTGATTTGCATAGACATCTGTGCATGAAGTCGCACAGATGTCTTACAAATCACACCTGATGTCGCACTGACATGCAACTTTGAAATTGTGCAACTTCAAGTGAAGTTGCACAATTTCAAAGTCGTATTCTGTGTGAACCAGGGCTTAAAGCTCATATGTTGAAGAGTTACTAAACCTAGGATCCTGCATTCAGTATATCTGGTCTCCCACAGTACACAGAACATGGAAATGCAATTATTTTAGTAAATATAAACTGATAAATACCTTTTCTCATCAGAAGTTAGAGCAGTCTTGTGACTTCTATCAGCAGAGCATTAGTTAAAGCTTGTAGGAGGAGTTTTCATTCTCCTGTAGCAGGATGCAGGACCCCTGATCCTCTGTCTGGAGAGTGCTGATTGGCCCTGTACTGATCACATGCACTCTGCCAAAAAAAAAAAAAAAAACCTCTAGCAATACACACCAAACTGAGCATGTGCAGCTTGCCCTCGAGCCTCCGCTCTATCAGGAGATATTTGGGAGACACTGGAAGAAAGGGAGGATCAGAGAAGACAGGATATCCTTTTTACACAATGTGGAGGATTAACCCCTTACGTTCATCAGTGCGTATTTCAAGCATGCTTTACTGCATATACAACTGATTTTACTGTTGTGGGTTTAGTAACACTTTAATGGTGTTTCAGGAAATTACAAAACACAGCATTTAGGAAGTACGTTCCCAAGGACCCTGTAAGCTGTAAGAAGTTGTCTGAATTCTGGCCACAATAGATTGTGGGACACAAATTTGCGTGGACTGCGTCTGTTTTGTACTTCCATACAGCTGTAGCATTTGCTGGATAGCATTATCAACTGGGAGATTGGTTTCATATGTTGCCTTGAAATATGCAGATCATTTCCGGGCAGCACAGTGGCTAAATGGTTAGCACTTCTGCCTGGAAGCACTAGGGTCACTATCTCTGGATGCAAGTCTGTGTGAAAATACCAGTTGCCTGGCTGTGTGGAAGGAAGCTTAGGGATACCCACAATACAGTGGCCCTCATGAGGATAGAGCTACATAGTAATTGGGTTTGCATCTACTTTAAAAAAAAGGTGGATAATGGATGGAATATGCAACCTAAATGGAAACTGTTTACCATGTATACAGCTGCATCTAGTTAAATAGGCAGAAAAAGACAAATACCCATCAAGTTCATATATATAATCACCAGGGATGGACTGACAACTCTCATGGGGCCCCCAGGCAATAGGGGATCATGGGGCCCCTGTGTCCTTGCCCAAATTCAAAAAATCCTATGACAAAAAGGTACCAGGGGCATCTCATGGGGCCCCCTACTGACCCCGGGCCCTCGGGCAGTGTCAGAGTTTCCAAATTGTCATTCTGCCCCTGATAATCACCTTCCCTGGGGGAAAAGGCAGTTCTAACAGTAGGTCTTTTCTTAAAATTCTGACTTGTAGTCAGTTTTATTTAAATTGTTCCAAACCCACAACAGTAAAATCAGTCTGTATATGCAGTAAAGAAAGAACTTCCGCCTGGCAGTTCTAAGGTCATTGGTTTGAATCCCAACCACAGCACCACCTGCCTGGAGTTTGCATGTTCTCCCTGTGCCTGCGTTGGGTTCCTCCAGGTACTCTGGTTTCCTCCGACACTCCAAAGACATGCTGGTAGGTTAATTGGATCCTGTCTAAATTGGCCCTAGTATGTGCATGTATGAATGTGAGTTAGGGACTTTAGATTGTACACCCCTTGAGGGTTAGGGAGTGATTTGAATGTACAATATATATATGTAAAGCGCTGCATAAATTGATGGCGCTATAGAAGTACCTGAAATAAATAATAATAAAATAATTTTTTACATTTTATCAAACAGTCCTGAATTTTGGCAAATAAGGATGCTGCTGTGGCAGGCGGAATCATGATCAGATTAGAGCATTGCTAATTTGCTGAATTTCATGCTATGGAATGTGGAAAGGTAAGCTCCGAAATACAAACATTTTCATTTAGTCATTTTAGTTCCACTTTAAAACATAGGAAAATAGTCATTTTGCAAATGAAGAAAATAAACCGATCTGTATTTTTTTTAATCAAGCTGGAAGATTTTGCAATTTTCAAGATGAAAAGGCTGCTGTGTTTCATAGAATGTTTCCAGTCTTGAATTTAATAATGCTAAATTATGCTCATTTATCTGAAGAGTCATCCCAGGATATTGAAACCTCTGTCTGCTCAGGGGCTTGTAAAGTTTTCAAGAGCTCTCTAGCAGTAAAGAGGCATCAACTGTGTTCTAATACAGTCCACTGAGAGAGGGCTCGCTTTAAGCCACGAGTGTCACCTTCCTGTTCACTTCAAAGCATCTGCGTCCACTCGCTGGAGAGGCTTTCAGGAAAACGATATGATATAGGCAGCATGGAAGAATATACAGTAGGTATCCACAGACATCACATAAAGCTGGACATAAAACCAGTGTTTGACTGCTAGGATATGTATGGAACCTTAAAGTGGAACTAAACCCTTCCATCCTTTCCAACCAAGAAAGCTGCCATGTTAGCCTCGGTTAGATCTGCAGTTACCATAGGACTGTGCATGTTATGACACCAGCCATTTAATGGCATGACAGTTCGGTTGAGAGCACACACAACTGTGACAGTTATCATTCAAAGCAAGCTTTCAGGCCCCGTTCACACCAAGAGATTTGGAATTGTGGGCAAAATCAGTGCGATTCGTTCCGCGATTCCAAATTCTGTTAACAATGCAGCAAAATACACATGTAGAAACACAGCTGGCTTGGGGCTAAAATTTGGTCCCTGGGCTTTTCTGCCACAACAAATGTGCGGCACGAGGAAATACATGTGAATCACTGAAAAAATTCACCAGTGGGAACAGGCGTTCCCTCTACGTGAAATATGAACAGAGCCTCAATGTAACAGTTTGGGGAAAAAAATTGATGAGTTTAGTTCCACTTTAACCACTTGCTTACAGGGCACTTATACCCCCTTCCTGCCCAGGCCAATTTCTAGCTTTCATGCAACACTGTTCCCATATGAAATTTTTATCATTTTTTGAGACAGATATAGCTTTATTTTGGTGGTATTTAATCACCTCTGGGATTTTTATTTTTTGCTAAACAAACCAAAAACCACTGAAAATTTTGAAAAAAAAAATGTTTTTTCTTAGTTTTTGTTATAAAATTTTGTAAATAAGTGATTTTTCTCCTTCACTGATATGTGCTAATGAGGTCGCACTGATGGACACTGATAGGTGGCATTGTTGGGCACTGATGAGGAGGCACTGGTAGGTGGCACTGATGGGCATTGACAGGCATCACTGATGGGCACTGAAAGGCAGCACTCATATATGGCACTAATAGGTGACACTTATAGGCAGCACTGACTGGCACTGCTAGGTGGCACCGACTGGCACTGTTAGGTGGCATTGTTAGGCGACACTGATGGGCAGCACATGGGCACTGATAGGCTGCACTGATAGGTGGCACTGACTGGCACTGATAGATAACACTGAAAGGCAGCTCAGATGGGCACTGATATGTAACATTGATGTGGCACTGATGGGCACCGGCAGGTGGCATTAATGAACACTGACAGCTGGCACTGATGGACACTGACAGGTGGCACTGCTGGGGCTACACTGATCATCAGGGCACACTGATCATGAATGCCCTGATGATCTGTGTACATGTCCCCTCTGAGGAATGCCGATTACCAGCTCTCCTCTCCTCATGAACTGTCAGCATTACAGCTCGTGAGGAGAGAAATGCAGATAACTGGCATTTCCTTATTTACATGTGATCAGCTGTGATTGGACACAGCTGATCACACGACAGAGCCAACGTCTTCTGCTCTTTCCGTTGATCGGTGATCCTTTGTGTCCCAGGGGCACAGCACACCACCGATCGCTGCGCACCCCCCAGGAGCGTGCACACACGATTAGTGTGGGAGGACGTCATATGATGTCCTCACAGAACGAGAGAACTGCCTTGCACCTGTCATTTCTTTATATGGTGGGCGGGAGGCGGTTAAAGTGAATCTGTGTTAGACCATGTAGGCAGGGCCATGGATAAGCGGGTACTACCAGTTCTCCTGTATGGGGCCCAGACTAACCAGGGGGGCCCAGGCAGCTGGCTGAATCTGATGTGGGCAGCGAGGGTGATGGGTGGAGCAGAGAGAGTGATGGGTGGGCCCCTCTCCCCCGCATCCAAAACCCCCACCCCTACAGTGCTACAAGCACACAATAGGATCCTTCAGGATGGAGAGTGGGGGAAGGGTCGAGTAAATATGTCACATTTACCAGCCCATTCCTTTCCTGAACTCAATGAGTGATTGGTGCTGATCACTCACTGTGTTCATTCATAACTGAAGCATATTAACTGGTGGTTTTTTGGGGAGGGAGGGGGCCCTGTCAGGTTGGCTGTATGGGGCCCCGTGGTTTCTAACAGCAGCCCTGCATGTAGGCAAAGCAATATGGTTACTATAAAGTACCTTTAAAGTGTTACTAAACCCAGGACCCTGCATTCACTATATCTGTCTCCCACAGTACACAGAACATGGAAATGCAATTATTTTAGTAAATATAAACTGCTAAATACCTTTTCTCATCAGCAATTAGAACACTCTTGTGACTTCTATCAGTGTTCAGCAGAGCACTGGTTAAAGCTTGTAGGAGTTTTCATTTTGATCTAGGAGGATGCAGAACCCCTGACCTCTGTCTGGACAGCGCTGATTGGCCCTGTACTGATCACATGCACTCTCCCAAGAAAAAAAAACATCTCAAGCAGTACATACCAAACTGAGCATGTGCAGAGTGACTCCACACGATATGTCTCATCAGGAGATAAAAGGGGGACGCTGGAAGAAGGGAATGATCAGAGAAGTCAGGATCAAAGAGCCTTTTTATACAATGCAGAGGATTAACCCCTTAGGTTCCACAGTGAGTATATCAAGCATGCTTTACTGCATATACAGACTGATTTTACTGTTGTGGGTTTAGTAACACTTTAAGGCTGAACTCTAGGTATATCTAAAAACCACAAATAAAGGGTGTCTCTCTAAACATTATTAAATTATTTTGAAATACTAGCAGTGTAAGTTCCTGGATTTGACTTGGTATCAGCCTCTCGCTGTCACTAATTAGTGGAACTGAGTGAGAGGAGCAGCAGCACAAGTATTCAATCAGTGCACAAGTTGACAAGGTGCAATCAGACAGGAAGAGAATGCAGAGTAATGAGATCATCACTGTTTTGCTTCTTCTGTCACTCTACAGTGGGAGGGGGAAGATAATCCTGTCAAAGATGGGATTAGGGGGTGGAACTCTGCACCCTAAACAGAGCATCCTCCAGAACCCTGCACCATGTATCTAGCATCCTCCAGAACCCTGCACCCTCCAGAAATCTAGACACTGTACCTAGCACCTTCCTAAACACTGCATACTGTACATAACACCCTCTAGATTTCTGCACCCTCCACAACTCTGCACCCTGTACCTAGCACCCTCCTAAACCCTGCAACCTCCAGAACTCTGCACCCTGTATCTAGCCCCCTTCTGAACTCTACACCCTGTACATAGCACCCTCCAGAACTCTGCACCTTCCTGAACCCTGCACCCTCCAGAACTCTGTACCCTGTACCCAAAACCCTTCTGAACTCTGAACCCTGTACATAGCACCCTCCTGACCACAGCACCCTGTACCTAGCACTCTCCTGAATCCTGCACCCTGTACCTAGCACCCTCCTAAACTCTGCAACCTGTACCTAACACCTTCCTGAACTCTGCATCCTGTACCTATTACCCTTCTGAACTCTGTGCCCTGTATATAGCACACTCCTGACCCCGGCACCCTGTACCTTGCACTCTCCTGCACCCTGTACCTTTTACCTAGCACCCTTCTGAACCTTGCACCTAGCACTCTCCTGAACCCTGTACCTAGCACCCTCCTGAACCCTGCACCCTGTACTTTGCACCCTCAGGAACCCTGCACCCTGTACCAAGTACCCTCCTGAACTCTGCACCCTTGTCAAGGTCCTACCTTTCCTCATACCTTGTGCTGCTCCATGTGCTGGCATCCATCTTAGGTGTCTGCAAAGCATTGTGGGATCCTTTATGCTTTCAGCCCTCTGCGGCTCCTCCCCCAGGAGGTGGCGGCTTATCACATATAAGTCTGCTGTTTGTGGCTGTCCATTGCATTTGTGTCCTGTCTGTTGCACAACAGCAAGCTCCTGTTTAGCTACTCATTGCTTTCCTAGATACCGACTTGGCTTTGGCTAAGACTCCTCCTGGCTTCTGACCCCGACTCTGGCGACCATTCTTCCTGGCTCCTGATTCCGGCTCTAGAGACCATTCTTCCTGGCTCCTGATCCCGACTCTGGTGACCATTCTTCCTGGCTCCTGATCCCGGCTCTGGTGATGATTCTTCCTGGCTCCTGATCCCGGCGCTGGTGACGATTCTTCCAGGCTCCTGATCCCGACTCTGGAAATGATTCTTCCTGGCTCTTGACCCCGGCTTTGGCTATGATTTCCACTGTTGGACTTGCATAGACTCTTGTCTTATTTTTATATTAATAAACCTACCTTTAATTGCACCTCCTTGTGTGTCTGGCTCCTCGCTCCCTGACAACCCTGTACTTAGCACCTTACTGAACTCTGCATCCTGTACCTAGCACCCTCCTGAACCCTGCACTCTGTATTTAGCACCCTCCGGGTATTTAATGCCCCTTTAGGACCCTCCCACACCCAGTTTCTGCGGTACACTCAACCACCTGCCCCCCCCCTACCATGGGGAATGTGGGGGCGTGGTTGAGTTCCTTCACCTATTCTCTGGGAAAAAAAACCCTGGATGACACATCAGCTAACATTGTTGCAGGCTGGGGGTGGGGGGGGGGGAGAAGCCACGCCGATGCACTAGCCTGCTCAGTGCTCTACTGCCTGTCCTGTTATCACTCCACATCAGCAGGACAGAGCACTGTGGCAGGCTAGTGGGGGGGGGGGGGTGACAGCATGTTTTACAGCATCAGGTGATACCAATCCTAGTGACGCCACTGACGTCAGGTGACTGGAGTTAAATTGTAACTGCTGTCTGGATGTAACAAAGAAATATATATGCTAAACTCCTAATTTACTTATCAATTATCTATGCTCTTTAACCTGCTTGGAATTATTTCTAACAGTCATTGTTTCTAAATCCTAATTAAAGCTTATTTAACTACCTCCTGCCTGGCCTATTGTAAAAAAAAAAAAAAAAAACAGCCAGGCAGGAGCACTGGTATTCCAGGAGAATGTCATATGACATCCTCCCATTGGCCTGCAGCAGCACAATCTGTGACCTGCTGGACACACATTGGAACACCGGTGAACACAGATTGCTGTGCACGCCCTGGTACCATGTGATTGTTGTGACCAATCACAGTGATCACATATCAGTTGTCATCAATGGCTTTTATTCATAGTCATAGCCATTGTGTGTGCCATTGTGGTCTCTGTGATTGGTCACAGTGATTACAGGGGCCAATCACAGTGGATTTGTAATGTGATCATTGTGACCAATCACACCATCACAGTAGTAAGCAAGGTTTCATGAATGAATGAAAACAGTGTTAGGGATTGGCTATTACAGAGATCATCACTGTAATAAGGAATCCTAGTGTAAAATAAATCCTGATCACATCCCAAGAGTAGTACAGTATCACTATAGTGACACTGTACTGCTCTTTTAAAAAGTATGCAAAAAATAAAAAATTATTATTATATATTTTTTTTTTACATACTGTCACCAGTCAGTCAGTGTCCCTAATCATTGCTACACCAGTCATATGGTGACACTGCACTGCTCTGGTGACTTTAAGTAAAAAGTAGAAAAAAAAAAAACATAAAACTTTATTTAATTTCTTCATTTTCCAAAAAAGTGACAAACAAATTACAACTTTACAAAACTCACTGTGCCTCTAACTAAATACCTTGAGATGTCTACTTTCCAAAAGGGGTCATTTGGGGGGTTATTTGTACTGTCCTGGCATTTTAGGGCCTCAAGAAATGAAAGGCCATCATTACATCAGGATTGATGAATTTTCAAATATATATACACCATAGATTGTAGACACTATAACTTTAACCCAGAGTGAATAATATACACTGATGTGGGTTATTTTCACCGAAGAATTACATTACGTTTTGGCCTAAATTTATAAAGAAATATTATTTATTTGCAAAATTTTATAACAGAAACTAATTTTTTTCAAAATTTTCTGAAAATTTTTCATTTACGTAGCAAACTAAAAAAAAACCCAGTGGTGATTAAATACCAGCAAAATAAATTTCTGTCTCAAAAAATGCTAAAATTTAATTTGGGTACAGAGTTGTATGACTGAGTAATTGTCATTCAAAGTGTGACAGCGCTGAAATCTGAAAATTGGCCTGGGCAGGGAAGGGGGTTAAAGTGTCCAGTACTGAAGTGGTTAAACAAATATCACCTAACATTTCTTGTTTTAGTCTCACTCTGCATTCACCCTTTGCCTCATTTTGTTTTCTTTTTTTATTGAAAGAGGTCAGGTATAAGAAGGCTATTTTTCATGTATTGTCAGCTCTTTTCTAAGTGTTAAATATTGAAATTTAATAAGACCTTGAATCAAAAAAGGATCTTTCTAGAAACAGTGTATGAGCCAAAACAGTGAACCCAGAGTTTAGAAAAAAAAAAAAAAGAACAGAGGAGAATGATTGAAGCAAGGGTGGAAATTGTGAAAGTATACTTGTAGAATCCCCCGTCCAGATGAACGATAATTTTCTGAAACTTTGCTAGCGATGATATTTAAAAGACCTGTTTTAATGGCATGACTAA